GGTGCTCGTAGTTGAAGTTCGTAACTAGTATCTGTGACTGTCCGTCACGGACACGCACAACACTTCGGGCAGCACATACACCTTGGAGCAACAGAAGTGATAGGTTGCTTTCAGCCACCACGTCACCGTCTCGGAGGTCTTCACAAGTGACTTCAATGGGAACAGTCGCTCGAGGCGGCAGCGTCGCACTGTCGTCAGCAACACGCAGCGCAGGTCTACAGCAGTTATCAGCGTCTCGATCTGTTGCACCTTGAGTCGACAAGGTCACGACGCATTCACAAAAATTTATGATGGCACCATATTTCAGAAGGAAGTCCATGCCGATAATCAGCTGACGTGAACAGTCACGAAGAACGAGGCAGCTGAGTACAAAGGTTGACGCACAAATTTTCACTCTTGCCGTACAGCGGTGTTACAACATGTCCTCCAGCTGTTCGAATTTGCGTTCCATTCCACGGCGTAATCACTTTCCTGAGATCTTTTGCTAGCCTCTCATTGATAATCAAATAGTCTGCACCAGTGTCTATCAAGGCATTGACCTGAAAACCGTCAATCAGCACAGGTATGTTGAGTGACAGGCGGTCACTGTGTTTAGATGTGGATGTCGGCGTTTCTTCACTACTGCGATCAACCTCTGACGAAATGCCTTCGGCGTTGCGCGCAAGCGTCGATGGGAGGTCTTACGCACTTTGAGTCCCAGCGACCTTGCCCCCAAAGGCCGCTGCCTTCAGTTTCTCAACGAGGGCTCGTGACGAAACGTGGCCCAGTGACTACGTGTCTCCTCGGAGATGGTGACCGCGATTGCCATCGAGTAAAGAGTGCATGCTGTTGCGCGATATACTCTTCGATATCCCTTGGCCTTTGACCAATTTGGGGACGAGGGGAATTGACGAAAAATCTGCGCAGTCCAAGTTGCCGGTATGGGCATTCACGGTAAATGTGACCAGCCTCACCGCAATGATAGCACAGGGGTCTGTCCGGCATACGCCAGAGATCAGACTTGCGCGTCGGTGCATGGCGACCATCGATATCCAAACCAGCGTGCGCTGACTGAATCGCGACTGGTGGCATCATTGTTTGTATCAGGACGTACGGCACTGTCTGGATCGGGACGTGCGACACTGGCTGGATCGGGACGTGTGGCATTGTCTGGGTCGGGACTCCTTGACCAGAAAGAGGCATGGCAGATCGCAAGGCTTCCGCGTATGTACGACAGCGACTGTCAGTAGACACACGAGCCGTTTCCGGATCAACCGACATCGGCGGAAAACGATGGGCGTGCAGCACCTGCTGGACCTCGTCACGAATGACACTGGTGATAGAACTTGCATCAATTTGCCTTGTCCCGTACATCTTTTCCATTTCTTCGCGGAAGACAGAGCGGATGACCTCGCGAATCCATTCGGGGCTCTTGTTCCCAGGGGTGGCGAAAATTTCAGGTGTTGAAGCAGTATTCACTTGACGGTCAAACAGGACAGACCGTTGGTGCAGTACTTGCTCCATTGTTGCCGCTTCACTAAGGAACTCGGCAACACTCTTGGGGGGGACTACGCACCAAACCAGCAAAAAGTTGTTCCTTCACACCACGCATGAGGTGGCGCAACTTTTTTTCTTCTGTCATAGCAGGATCCACACGCTTAAAAAGCCGCGCTATGTCCTCGACGTACATCAAGACGGTCTCGTTTGGCATCTGGATGCGTGATTGTAGTGCACGCTCTGCCAGTTCAGGAGGTCGGGACTCCTTTAGGTCTCCAGAAGGCGACGCTGAAACTCGTGCCAAGATATCAGAACATCATCCCTGTTAAAAAACCACGACTTGGCACCGTCCTTTAGGCAAGTGTACACATTCTGGAGCTTCGCAGCATCATCCCAGTAATTGATCGCTGCGACACGTTCAAACATACTCAGCCAGATGTCAACATCTTCATGCTGCTCTGTGTGGAAGGGGCTAGGCATGAGCGGGTTCTGGACAGTGCAGTATATCGGCGTGAAAGGTGTCGGAGCTTGCACGAGATTTTGTGTCGAAGTCATAGTCGCTGCGTCAGTAGTTGGTGTCTCAGGCCGTAGGCCTCGTGGGCGGCGGCTTACTCTGTGAAGAGGAGTGTCCACGGGTGCAGGGCTTATGTTCCGGCTGCTGGGCGGGGTCTTGGGCATCGGGTGGATCGTGAGACGTAGTACGCAGCACTTTCACCAGTCTTGTCATGTTTCTCACGACAAACTTGATATAATGGCCTCGTTGAGTCGACTAGCCAAGCAGCAGCTTAGATAGATCGCCTTTGTCCTCTTTCACTCATGGACCTCACCCAAGCAGACCATGTGGCAATATTATAGTTGAAATCAAGAAGAGGAAATGGACATAGGCCGGGCATGTAGCGCGTAGGCAGGGTAACCGCTGGTCATTCAGGGTAACTTACTGGATTCCCAAAGAAGGCGAGCAAGTTAATAGGAAACAAAAAGTTAGGTGGGCAGATGAGATTAAGAAATTAGAGGGTATGAAATGGCAGCAGCAAGCACAGGACCGAGTTAACTGGTGGGACATGGGAGAGGCCTTTGTCCTGCAGTGGACGTAGTCAGGCTGATGATGATGAAAAGTTTGAAAGAGCCCATGACAGTCCTGTAATGCAGCCAAAGCTACTAGAAAACATAGGTACATCTCATGGAATCTCTGTATATATTCTAGTTCACTATAAGGGTTGCAGCCCAGGCACCTAGGAAGTGGATTGGATTAGATCAACCTGCATTTACTGACTTTACTATTTAGGATGTGGATTGGAGCTGATGCGACCTGAATTGCTGTATTTGCTATATAGTAGTCGCCTATAGCTGGTAGCTTGCACACCTCTAATATGTACTTTTAAGCCAAAAAAAAAGAACAATACTAATCACGTATTCTCTTCACCCTGCAATCAACAATGACTAACACCAACGTCGCAAGAACAAAGCTGTACTGCAAAATTATCTTTATTTCATTCTTTTTTTTCCACAATGAACACATGCATGCTGATGTTTTATTTCTCTAGGCTTTGACGCTTAGAGTTCGACAAAGTCCTGAGATGCCTGCAATGAAAGCTAGGGGTAGTGTTTAGAGCGATGATGTTTGACTATGTGCTGGACCTGTCAAGGCGCAACAGCTCCCTCGATTCCACAATTTTACCACAGATGCTGGCACATTTCCTTCATTAGTGTAACTTGTATTGACATAATGCTAAAAAGTAATCAGAAATTTAATAATACAATCTCAAGAAACTGAAATGAGCAATTTAGATGAAGTTACTCAACTCTACCTTTGAAACTCGAGCTACCAGCAATAGGTGCGTAGCTGAGGACTGCGTGGCTACTCTGTATACGTGTGTAAGCACGAGTATTTGTAACAACTCATGCAGTAGACGTGCTCCTGGCATTTCGATAAAAACCGACTAATAAACTCGCTTCGCAGAACCATGTCTACGAATGTGGCCAAAGTTCCTCGAAATCGTTCGCATGAAATGTATCATAGCTGCACTTCACGGTGTGCATCATTTCGGATAGCACAAGATAAGTTGAAGAGAGCGAAACCATTTCCTGTAGATTTACGGCAACCCAGAATTGTTCGAAAACTCGGATATTGCATTGAACAAGCACTACGAAACAATCTTGGCCGACTTGGCGCACACTGAAACACTCCTCCTCTTGAGTTTGTCCTGGCTACGATTTCGTCTTTGGTCACGGCGAGAATCTGGCTACAGCCATATGCGCATGCGTACTCATTTTGAACTGTCTGCATAATAATAAATAGCCCCACCAGCCATTTGCACGATCTCGAGCAAGAAATGGACGAATTACACATGTGGATAGCAGAGAAAAGAAAGGGTAAGCTGGAGAGTGACCCAGACTGCATCGAGAACAATGAGTGATGCTACCTTGGAAACTTGTTTAATCTAGGGGCCTTATACCTGTGCCACACGGGCATAGAAAATGACATTCGGTAGCGAAGGCATTCAGTTCCCGAATGACATTTTTTTCGGCGGTGCTGCTATACGTCCAAAGCGAATGACATTTAACTTGATGATGTCGATCGCAGCACCTTCCTCGTGAGCATCGAGTGAGTAGCAATAAAAAAATAAAGAAGCGTTTACATGCTTCATACACATCCGATAATAATTAAAAGTATAAATAAGCATATTATGCTGCCGTTTGATTTCGTTCGTTACTTTGTTTGAAGACATTGCAACAGACTGTATAGCAACTTAAGCCAAAGCTAGTCAGATCCGCAGCGTAAAAAGAAAAAGGTGCCTGGCTCATTTATTTTACAGCGCCTACCAGCCAAAGAGAAGTTTTTAAGCAGTTCTTTAAGTGAGTAGTGTAAATATAATACGCAAAAGTTTCCTACCAGTCGAATCAAATGTCGTTTTATACAATTAATTCATCAGCTGTGCCGTCGAGAGCACTCATTTCTCAGTCGAATGAGTTCTGGCAATGGCATTCGGTGACGAATGGCATTTGGGCGAATCCATTTCGTTCATCGCTGTGGCACCGCGCGAATGACCTTCAATCTGAAGGCATTAAGAGGTAAATGCCATTTTCTCTGCCGGTGTGGCACGGGTATTACTCGCGGGGCCAACGGCACCCCACCTGACGGGCGTCTAAAAATAGAGGAGACGCTGACCAAGCAAAGCACCTTGAACCTGTAAAACTTCCAAGGTTGTAGGTTCGGTCTCCTGATTGAAAAAAGAAATTAACAAAGAAGACGTATATAACAAGCTTACATGCATCGCAACCACATTGTCAAATCAGAAACCTTGCGTGAACGTCAAGCACGGTTGTGTCGAACGCTCGTGCCAAACTACATCAAGCTTCACAGCGCGATAAACCTAAAAAAAAAAAAAAAAAAAAACGCTCGAGCTTGAACCAAGTGCACGAGCCCGGTTACTTCAACGATTCGTATAGCCGGATCGTTGTCACACAAGCTAGAAACCTCAAAGCACCTTACGCACGAACATACCCAAAGAAATGAAACCTACCGAAGTGGAGACGTTGGACGCCGTTCGGGCGCGCACCTCCTTGATGAGGCAGGCCAGGGCTTCGGGGTTTACGCCGCTTTCGCACAGCTTGACGCAGAGAACCAGCGACTGAGCATCCAGGCCCGTGTTCAACAGCTGAGACATCTCCAGTAACACTGCACAGTCAGATGCAGCAGGCGTTGTTTGCTTAGGTTGCGAAGAAGGAAGATGCTTGGCCAGAAAGTGAGAAAGGTTTACAAACCATCGAAAGTTTCTTTGACAGCTGCCCGCTGTTCATCACCGCCGGGCGCCGCCATCTTTTGTTTGTTTCTTCTAGTGATGGGCCGGATCTTTTGAGTGGCTCCGTGGAGTGGCTCTTCTTAAAAAGTGAGCCGCGGTCACAGAAGCTGCGGTTCTTCGGCTCACCGCGAAGCCAACTGACTGACTTAGCGCCGCTACCCGCTCGCAGCCAACTAGATTCTTTTTTAGTTTGCTAACTCCACTGGGACGAGGCGGCGAAACGCGGGCCTACAGTGTACTAGAACTAGTACACTGTAGGCGGGCCCTTTCTACTCCCGCTCCTTAATAGGGTGTGGAGGTGTGAAAAGCGGCCGCTGAAACCGGTCCCCAAAGCGCGCCGATGCCGCTTGGGGCGCTGCACGCAGAGGCGCGGCCTGCGGGTACCCTTGCGCAGGCGACATACGAATGAGCGCGCGCTGATCTCTGCAGAAATCACTCTCACGCAGTTAGACGCAGGCCTGTAGCCGGGGGGGGGGGGGGGGGAGGGGCTCTATTTTCTAGTTTTTAGCAACTGCCCCCCCCCCCCCCCCCGAAAGAAATTTCTGGCTACGGGCCTGCTCTCACGCTGTATGGCAGTCGCCTATTTTTGGTGAAAACCTTTTTTATTGAGTCAATGTGCGACAATACTTAAGATACTTAAGCCACGTAGTGTCTTACGTGGCTTAAGTATCTCTATATTTTCTCGCCTCTGAATACAATTCTCGAGAAGGCATATGAGCGAGACCCGACACCACCATTTGTGGATTTCGTAATATTGCGGTTACTCACGGCTGAACTGCAGGAATGTTAAGAGACGTTGCGATTACTGGAAGGCTTTATATTACTTAGAGCTTGTTAAGTTCCTTCATCCTCGAGCAGAAACGTCGGTACAAGAGCCTCGTTTTGCTGCTCCGCCGCGAACTCATAATCTTGTGCGAGTCGCAGCTTAAATTCTCACTTGGCATTCAATTAACGGTTTCCGAACGTAGAAGTTTTAGCAGCCTACCATTGCTCATTAACTTAAACGAGCAACGCTGTAAGAGCATTAAAACTTACGTATGCCGCGAAGCCTGTGACTCGAGATTTGTCCGCAGAAATAGAGGAGACACTTTTTTAACAAAAACATAACGTTATTTTCATGCATGCCAAGGTATTCATCCTCTGCCACTAGAGTACATGGCTTAACTCTCCGCCCTTTCTTTTCGTCTTCTTTTTGGTTCATGCCTTTAAAAAAAGTGGACCCGTGTGCAGCAATAAAATCGCACCACACCTTTGGTCAAGAAAGCACCATGCTTTGAGCAGCCAATTCGTTGTGTCCCGCCAATCCCCTTCAGCATCTCTATGGCCTACTTGGCGTGAAGACGTGCTGAGCTCAAGAAACGAGTGATTTTGTCCTCAAGGTTCAGGATGAGGGTATAAAAGGAATTCGGCGGATACAAAAGTCCACCCAGATCCCACAGCTTGCTTGCCTGGGCTGGGAGATTTCCTGGCACATTTTCTCGCGAGACAAGACAGGCGTTCTTGCACTCATCACAATTATTGCTAAGTATACGCTTTCTCGCAACGTAACCTGCGACATAACATACAAGGTGGGAGTCACTTCGCTCAGCAGTGTACGATGCATGATCTATCGACACTACCATCGCCCAGGCACAAAGCACCAACGCTGGGTCTTCTTTTTTACCGTTGACATCTTCGGGCATTTCAGAGGGACCTAGCGCAAACACTGACTGATGGCATACTTGCAATGTAGCGACTGCTTGCGAAAAGAATCCCAGCGCACCTGCAGCAAACATAGGGAAGTGAGCCGCTCTTTACCCGCGCCGCTGCCATCAGCGCTCCTTGCGGCATCGGCGCGCCCAGTGTCCCTCTCCGACAAGCGAAAAGCACCCCGCTCATCACACCTAGAGGTGTGCGCCGACTGGTCTGCGCGCCGCCGGCGATAAATTTCACCGCGTCGCCGACGCGAACTGATCGGCGCGCCGCCGACGTTTTTCATTGGCGCAATCGGCGTGCCATTTATGCGCCTGTACTGACTTTTCACAAATTTGTCTTCTTTTTCATCTTGATTTATAGCTTCGTTTGACATTTTATGTAGCCAGTAAAAACCAGGCTTCTTAGTTATCTTCATCCAGCTTCAGAGACCGAGAGTACCACTATGAACAGCGGAACGAGTTCGGCGGCCGCTGCATGAAATGACAAATTGGACAAATTGACAAAAAATAAATGTAACAGTTACAGTAAAGCATAGACACTGCCGTCTTAGGCTTAAAAGCAATTTTTGCTGTTTTTTGTGTCGTAATTAGCTATGATTATGGTGATACGACGTTGAATGTAATGGCCCAGCGTTTTGATGCGTGCGAGTTCACCATAGCACAATTCGAATATTCATACGGATGGAAAACGGCACCATTATCAGTCCAAGATGGCAGCCTATAATTCTGCCCGAAACAGGGCGTATATAAAGAAGAAATGAAGTGGTAGCAGTGCAGCACGAATGCAGCGCGTTAGATGAAGGGAGGACGAGGAGGAATAAATGAGGAAGGACAGGCGTTAGATGAAGAACTACGCAAAACCCCGAAGGATGAAATCGAACGGGAGAAGTTTAATGAAGATTAAAAGCGTCAAGGCATAATACATGCTCGAACCTACTCAGGGTATATCAGCACCTGTCTGCGGTGTTAAAATGATAATTTTCGAGGATGACCACTTATATGCAGCGTCTGAACATGCTGCAGAAAATATTCACCATCTGTTTTATTCTTTAACTTGTGTGTTTGTACCGGCCTTTTAAGACATTGGATACCCGGGATGAAGATGCCAAGGCAGTAAGATGGCAAGAGAGAGAAAGGACGGCTGGGGGATTAACCATATCTTGGCATCCGGTTTGCTGCCTAGCACTGGGGGTTGAGAAATAGGGCCAAAAAAGGGCGTGTAGAGAGACAGAAAAGAAAACGCATGTGCACTCAGGAGTAAGATGGCAAACTTAACAGAGGATTTATTACATTCTGTGCAGACAGGGCGAGAGGTCTCTTGCGAATGAGCTGGGTGGCTCACTATAAAGTGTACGTTTTGACTTAATCAGGGAATGGGTCCAGAATGCGCTGTTGAATCACGAGACACACACCATTTCTGACGGTGCCGCTCACACTCGCTCAAGTCAAGGTCTTTGATTGGGGCGTGGCCACCACACTGCACCTGTGACACCAAGAAACCGTTGTGGTCGTCTTGTCAAACGTCTTATGATGTCGGAATGCAACCTCACTTCCCGGCTAAGATGGACAGTACACGGCGGACAGCAGGCTGGCAGCCCTTTGGTGACTTGTTTGATGAACAAAGAACGTGGCCCTCCCCCGTCGGCCCAGGCGCCGCGCGTAACAACGGCTATCCAGTGGTGAGAAGAGGCGTAATAAGTTTGTCTGAGACCACCAGTTTTAAAAAGAACAAAACAAAATTTAAAAAAAAACTGCCAGTAGACAATTTACAAAAGACGGCTGGATTCATCAAAAATGCAGAGACCGACATTTGAGCGACACGTCATATATGACATAGTTCAGCAAACTGGTTTTCATCACGTAACTTGAACGGACCTACTGGCACTGGGAGAGGTTAAGAATGATTGTCGCTGACAGATGTACTTCTGTTGCGAAGGTAATGCTCAGAGTCAACCAAATAAAGCTTAACATTATATTCAAGTCTTGATAAAAAAATAAGTCAAGTTAGAAAGCTCCTCAGGTGGCCAAATAATAAATTACTTCACCATACTTTAGGAAGAAGTAATTTGCAAATAAATAATGCAACCACTGTTTAATTGACATTCAATGACGTGACTGCGATCAACGGTGTGTCGTCGCTATAAAACTGGAAAGTTATATGTGGACACGATCTGGCGAATGCAGCGGAGAACGAATATGTCACGTAATAAAAGCGATGTGATGTTGCACATTTTCATCTTTACAACTCCGTGCCCTTTTGCTTGCTCGTGATGTGTTCGAAGGAGCTAGCCAAGTCTCAGGTAGAAGTCAAGCAGAGTAGCCGGGGATGATAAAAGCAACGTTTATGTTCACTATTTACACACTAAAGGTAGCACCATGGAAGCTTGATGAGAGCTTTCGAGAGCTGGTTCAGAGCGTCTCGGTGCTCGCGTTTTAAGCCGTGGTCTTCCTAAAATTCTCTGCAGGAGAAAACAATAGACAGTTTGCAATAATCTGCAAGGCAACTTTTCTGTAAGGTTAGTTTTCCAACCATAAACTCTCGTTCACAGACTGCTTTTCTTGCTCATTTTGTTTTTGCCATTCACCTTTTTGAGATCTTGTTGGGCTCGCGTGCCTTTGCTGGAATTTGGAGAGGTGACATTTTGTTGTACTCGCGTGCCCGCGTGCATTCGCTGGAATTCGAAAAGGTAAAGACACAATGAAGGAGAAAAGCTGTCTGTGAACGATAGTTTTTGGCTAGAAAATAAACCTTACAGGAAAGCCGCCTTGCAGATCACTGTAAATGGACAGACTGCATGTCCATTCAGTTCAGGGCAGTCCAAAGAAATTGTCGTCTTCATCTCAGTCCCCCAAATGGCGGGGGTAGTGGTTAGAAGAAGGCGCCTAATTTCTGCAGCCCAGCAGGCGCACGGCGGAGCGAATAAAGATTTAAAAAAAAAACGAGAAGGAGAAAGAGAGAGAAAGTCAAACACTGCCTTCTTTTCTACCCCGGAAATAGAAAGGATGCATGTTCAGTTCGTCACACGGCGAGATAGAAACACAACGTAGGTCATAATGCAATAGTACGCACAACACAGCACAGTGCAATAACATTGCATCGCACGTGCAGAATAGGGCCTGCAGCGCTAGGCAGGCTAGGGCCTGGGGGAGTGGAAGACTTGAAAGCACCACAGAGTGTGGGAAACATACCCGACGACGGATCCCAACCTTTCGGCTAATTATTCAGCGCGTCTCGTGGCACGTCGAACAAATCAAGCTGCCTAGATTTCCGACAGCTCTTCTTAAGCCGTCAGTCAGTCAGGCGTGTCCAAAGAGTTTTTGACGAGGGGAGCCAACAGCCCTAAAGAGTTCGAAGTATGAATTTCGTGTTGTCGCCTCTTTTGGCGCACCTCGAGAGCGTTAACCCGGAACAAATCAGGGTAGGTGAGGTGACTTTCCGCGAACCTTACCTGCTTTCCAAACCAGTTACTGCATGCAAGCTTCCCCTGAATGGATGAATGTGTGGTTGAAGAAAAAGACACTATCTTTCCTTGCGAGACCAGGGCTCAGTCCCTTGAAGGGAAAGGGGAGAGTGGAGAAAATAGTTTAGAAGTAGGAAGGAGGAGAAGGTTTTGAAGAACGTGACGGTCATGGCTGCTAGAGCAGAAAGAGAATAGGGGCCGTCGGCAGGGCAGTCCGAGTGGTACA